GGAGCATGAACAGCTCTTTCATATCAGTCTTCAACTAGGATTATACCTTTACAGGACCTCTTGTAAATCAGACCACAGGGGTTAGGGCATATGTGCTGCCAGCTAAGTAGTACACATACACATGAACAGAAAATACAGAGAATGAAGGCACCTTACAGAGAAGAGGGCAAAAAGTTCTTGTGTGTGCTCTTATATGCAAGTCCCAAGACACATCACCTTCTCTCAAGGGATGCAGGAGAGCGCAGTGATGCAGCTCAGCCCCATAAAAACCTCTCTTTCATGTCCCATCAAGCCGAGCTCAGCCCCCACGCTGGCAGCTACCCCAACCACGTTCCCCAGCTCTTTCTGGGCGTGAGGAGTCACGGTTCACTCCTCAGGCTGCCACATCTAGTCCAACCCCCTGCTCAAAGCAGGACTAGTCCCAACTAGATCATTGCAGCGGTTTATCAAGCCCAGGCCTTAAAGACCCCCAAGAACAGAGACTGCACCACCTCTCTGGGTAACTTGTTCCAGTGTTTCACCATCCTCTTAGTGAGAAAGTTTTTTCTAAGATCCAACCTAAACCTCCCTTGCTGCAACTTGAGACCATTGCTCATTGTTCTGTCATCACTGAGAACACTCCAGTTCCATCCTCTTTTGAACCCCTCTTCAGGTACTTGAAGGCTGCTATTAAATCCCCTCTTACTCTCTTCTCCAGACTAAACAAGCCCAGTTCCCTCAGCCTCTCCTCATGAGTCATGTCCCCCAGCCCCTTATCCTTTTTGCTGCCCTCCACCAGACTCTCTCCAACTTGCCCACATCTTGTCTGTAGTGGGGGCACAGCAGCGGACACAGTATCCCAGTGGGGTGCAGTGCAGTAACTTCCAGGAGCCCGGACAGGAACTGACACTTCCCCACAGCCTGGTCTGACCCCAGGGAAGGAACCGTCCTCACTCCTACACAGGCGGAGCACGCCCGCTGCCCGGGGCTTTCCAGCCAGGGCGAGGCACCGCACCTGTCCCGCCCCAGCTCTGGCTGTGGCCCGACCCCTGGGCCCCGCGGGCGCCACCCTGCCCGCGCAGAGGGCGAAGGCGGGTCCCCGGGGCGCCCCCGCTCCCGCCCCGCGCTACCTGCTGAAGAAGTCGGCGAGGCTGGCGCCGGTACCGGCGATGGCGAGGCCCGGCCTCGGGTTGCGCTCGGGCG